GGCCCCGGGCTGGGGCGCGCAGCCGTGCGTCCCGGGCTCGCCCCGGGGAGTCAGGAGGGGACCGGGCCGCGACCCACTCCCCTTGTGATGCTGACCCCCCACCCTCCTCAACTACTAGAGAGTAGCCTCAGGAGGGAGGGAAGGCCGGGGGAACTTGGCCGGACCTTAATTCCTATTGAAAAGCAGAGCGCGTGGAGGTTCCTTTGAGACCCGGTGTGTGTGAAGTTACTTTATGATTATGACTATTCATGATCATTACTATTACTCTTATTCTTGTGCTGGCTTTGGAGGGGTTGAACTCAGGGCCTGGGCGCTGTCCCTTAGGACCCCCCCGCCCACTTTTTGTGTGTGTGTAATTAATTGGAGATGTGAATTCTCATTTCTGGCTTTGAAGCCAGCATCTCAGATCTCAACCTCCTGAGTAGCTAAGATGAGAGGTTTGGGCGATGGTTGCCTGGCTGTTAATTTATTTCAGTTAGTTTCGGTGGCGGGCTGGGATGGGATGAGGGAGGTGGCCACAGGGCCAGGCCTCGATTCCCACAGGCAGGCCGGGTCCCCAGCGCTCTCCGCAGTCACCTTTAGCGACAGGACGAATCTTGTGACAGAAGGAGACCAAGTCGGGCGTCTGCAGCCCCCAGCGGGTGTGGCCAAAGAATCTGTGCAGGGGTCCTGCAGGGCAGGATGGGGCTCAGGTGGGCAGAGAGCAAGGGTAGTCGTTAGAAGAGAGGCTTGGATTTATCATATATATATATATATATTATTTTAAACAGTTGATGTCAGGGCAAACAAGGGAGGCTTTACAGAGCCTCTTCCTAGGTGCAGAGAAGACGAAATGAAAATAAAATTGCCATGTTGGGGATGAAACCAGGGTCTCACTGGTGCTAGGTTAGCGCTCTGCCACTGAGCTACACTCCCAGCCCCGGGAGAGCTTTCCATTTGACCTTCTTGACAGATACCCACTGGCAACTAGGTCAACATACATGCCAAAGCAGGCGAGGTCCCAAGGGAGAGAGAGTCCTACCCCCTACCCCCCATCCTGGTCTCTCACCAAACATACCTCTTCTTACAAGCTTCCCCATAATCCTCTGGGTTGGATTAGAAGAGAAGATTCCAGAATCCCATTGACCTGGGGGGTGACATAGGCCGGGAGTGGTGAGGGAAGAAGGTGCTGAATGCAGGAAGACTATTACCCCTCTCCATCATCCTATTTTATCCACCTTATCTGGGAAGAAGCCTGTCCTGCTTTTCTGCTCAACTGCCCTTTAAGGTCCTGTGCACGTTCACCCCAATGCAACCAGCTCAGCTGTCTCTTCAGGAAAGACTCCCTTAGCCATTCATTTCACCTCCCTCCATGTCACTTTGGGCGACATTTTCCCTGAAGTATTTCTAGAGTGACTGCTAACTAGTTACAGGCTCAAGAGAGAGCTTCAGACTGGTGAACCTGGGATTAAGGGGTGCGCATTTTAACTTGTTTGGAATGGTTCCCCCCCCTCGCCCCCAGGATAGCAAAATAACTATATTTAGTTTGGTGTAGGTTTTAGAAGCTTTATTAATAATACCCTTTCTATTTCTCCTACACTGTCTTTCAAGGCACTGATTATGTTTCTTGTGTTTACAGGACAAGAAGGGACTTTCTGGGAAACAGAATAATTTCGAGCGCAAAGCTGTGTATCAGAGGCAAGTCAGGACACCTAGTTTGTTGGCCAAAAGCATTTTAGAAGGTAAGGCAATGCTTAATTACTCTTTAGCCTCTTGAACTGAGTTGAATGACTCTCATTATTCAGACATATGACATAATTCTCTCTCTTTCTCTCTCTGCTCAAGGCTAGAGCTCTACCACTTGAGCCACAGCTCCATGTATGGTTTTTTTTTTTTTTGATGGTTAACTGGAGATAAGAGGCTCAGGGACTTTTCTGCCTGGGCTGGCTTCAAATCTCCATCCTTTGCTCTCAGCCTCCTGAGCAACTAGGATTATAGACACAAGTCATGGTGCCCTACTTCATACTTGGTAACATAATGAAGAAGATATCTGCAGAGAAAGCAATTTTTATTAGGAGGAAAATAAGGTCCAGGAAGGGGCATCCTCATACTTGGTGTCATCATTACTTTTTAAGAACCCTGCTCACATTTTAAGAGCTAATAGGTTAAGTTGGAATCCATGTGAAATTTGGCTCAGATATACATTGCAAAATGATCCAGGAGCAGATGTTTTGGAAGGAAATAAATGAATGAAAATGCTCACGTACCAGACCCCTTTTCTTTCCTTAGCTGTAAGGAGCTACTTGGACAAAGTATGTGAAGCAAAGTCAGCAATGGGTGATTAATCAGCACCTATAGTCTGGGATTCAACTTCAGATTCCATGCTTTTCCATTGTACTCTTTCTTCCTTGACCATTGAGATAACTGCTATTCTATTCCACACTTTTATCTTGGACAGTTAAGGCTGTAGAATCTCAAAGACAAAATTTGAATCAAACAAGCAAAGTAGAGGTTGAATTTGAGCAGTGTGAATTCTCCCCATGTTTTCACATTTGGTTCCTTTTCCTTAATGTATTACTGATATTCTAAAGCATCATTCTTTGGGTAGTGTTTATTAAATCTGTTAAGTGATTGCTGGGCTATCTCTCATGGCTTTCTTTTGGCTTCTTTAAATTTTCTTGAAATCTACCTAAGAGAAACTCTGTATTAGCTTTAGTCCACATCAGAAAGTTCCTATGGAAAGAATTTTTTTTTTCCCTTAAAGTGAATAGATATTTGAGTTCTTTCTTCAGTTCATTCTTTTTCTCGTGTTGCTTCTGAATTCAGTTGACGCAGGGCAGGTTTTAAAGTTTGTGTCTCACCCAGTGCTGTGCACTTCTGACCTTAGATGAGATTCTCATGCAGTAAAAACGAATTGGGTTACATAGTGGGTAAACAGATTTATAACCATAGGAACCACATTGATAAATTGAAATTTTGCCAAAGCAATTTGAGAAGTCAGAGGACTAAACGGACCAGTAGAGTCAAGTAAATAACTTCCTGGCAAACACTTGGGAAAGACATTGGAAACATTAATTTTCAAGTTTTATTTCATTTGCAAATGAATACAATGGGTTGGTCACCAGGAAAGCACAAATATCACCACGGATCCTTCAAACAAATTTGATAGTGGTGAGTGTTTGGAAATGATGACACACTCTGAGTATTTCATGTCACCAGGAATTCTGTTTACATTACACTAATCTCTGGTTTTGATTTTGTCTCTATTCATGAAATGTGTGATGACTTAATCTTCATTTTAATGATCGCTTGTTCAACCATTTTGGTATCTGGCCAACATGATTGAGCTTGGGAAAAATGCTTCAAACCTGTTATTTTGAATATAACTGGGAATACCCTTGGCGCCCCCCACCTCCAGTTTTGTTTTGCTTTTGCTTTTCTTTATTTGTACTGGTTGTTAAGGGGAAGACCTGGCTAAATTGTCCATTGTAAAGTATGTTTGACTAGTAACAGCACTTTTCAATTTTCTATGCTTCTCTATTTCCTTAGGTCTTTTTTGTTCTTTTTTCTCACTAATCTCCTTTAACTTTCTTTTTTCTTTTTCTCCTAGTTCTCCTTGGATTATTCTACAACTGTAACAATATGTACATAATGAGGCATCTTTAGAAAATAAAAGTGACTTCAGCTCTAGGTATAGATATATAATTTTTTCTTTTTTCTTTTTTTTTGTGTGCCAGTACTAGTGCTTGCACTCAGGGCCTGGGCACTGTTCCTTAGCTTTTTATTCTCAATGCTAGCTCTCTATTGCCTAAGCCACATCTCTAATTCTGACTTTTTGCTGATTAATTGGGGTTAACAGTCTCATGGAGTTTTCCTGCTTAACTTGGCTTTGAACTGTGATCTTCAGATCTTAGTCTCTTGAATAGCTAGGATTACAGGCATGAGCCACTGGCTAGATACCTTTTAAAATAATGAACACAGATGAAAAGGGAAGAAGGCATTGGTTGATGCAAGATGGACATCTTTATCTCTTAATATGTATGAATCTGGGAAGAATATTAAAGTCTCAGTCAATAAATACACTTGTTCAAGCAAGCAAGCAGATAAACATATATATATATGTACACACACACACACACACACACACACACACGCACACATATGAAGATACATATCCCCAAACCAAAAACCAGGAACAAATGTTACAAAATGGAAATGTTTTCCCCAGAGGAAACAAATCGAAATTGAACCTAAACTTTTGCTCTCTATTGAAAAGTATTAGGGATCTAGAATTATGCACAATCGTTTTGCTGAGTTTTGGTGTTTCCTTTGGTTTTTGCAGATTTTCATCCCGAAATGCTAATCTCTTTGCTGTGCACGTTTGCATGTTTCAGGTTATCGCCCCATAACAGCCGAGACTTACCTAGGAGGGACCCTACCTCTGCCTCCTCCAGTTAGTGACAGAATGAGGAAAAGAAGGGCCTTTGCTGACAAGGAACTGGAGAACATTATGCTGGAGAGAGAATACAAAGAGAGGGAGATGTTGGAAACTTCTCAGACTGCTGCTTTGTTCCTGCCCAACCGCATGGTGCCAGGACCTGAATACAACTCCTTCAAAAGTGCTTATAGCCCATCCCCAGGGGAGCCAGCGAGCAAGGAATTCTGCAATTTGATGCCCACCTGCCTTGATCTTACCATGCAGTATTCAGGATCTGGGAATATGGAACTGATTTCTTCTAACGTCAGTGTGGCCACGACTTATAGGCAATATCCGCTGTCTTCAAGATTTTTCGTTTGGCCCAAGTGTGGTCCCATTAGTGACACCCTCCTTTATCAGCAGTGCTTGCTAAATGCTACCACCTCAGTTCAAGCCCTGAAGCCAGGGGCCAGCTGGGAGTTGAAAGGAGTCCGGGACGGGCTCAGTGCAGAACATGACATGCTACCTCCCAAACTGGAAGGTCCCATGGTACTGCCTCACACTCCAGAGATCCAGACATCCAGAAGTGACCTGCAGGGTCACCAGGCTATCCCAGAGAGGTCTGCTTTCTCCCCTCCCCGGCGGAATTTCTCTCCCATTGTTGACGCGGACTGCCTGGCAGCTCAAGGGCAAGTCTTAAACAAGATCAGCAAAGAAAACACCAGGCACCCAATGCCACTTAAACCTAATCCATTCCATTCATTACTCCAGCAAACACAAAGTGACAAATTAGGTCCTGAATTGAAAGCACCACCATTTGTCAAAGAAGCCTTTGAAGAGACCCCAAAGAAACGCAGGGAGTGTCTGGTCCAGGAAAACCAGAGGTACACATTTACAATAGATAGGTGTGCAAAAGACCTTTTTGTAGCCAAACAAGTTGGAACAAAACTCGCGGTGAATGAACCGCTGTCGTTTTCTGTCGAGTCTATTCTCAAGAGACCCTCATCTGCCATCACTCATGTCTCTCAGTGAAAGGCTGCTCCCATGGACAGCTGGATTCTTCTGCAGTCTCAGAGCATTCTTGCCGTGTGCTTTTTTTTTCGTTTTAAAATAAATGTCTGTATAAAGAAATTTCTAACGTAAATGATGATTCCTACAAATTCTATATATTCACCTGCATGTACCTTTCCCTATCACATCAATATATTTAAACCTGGAACTTGCTGAAGGGGCAAATTGTAAAGTTCTCTGCTTTACATTTCAGAAAGCAATAAACTTGACATTAGCTTTTAAAGACCCATTATTTGTGGAGGCAAATAGCTGTCTCTGTCTAGATGACATGGTGTCCTTCCTTGAAAATGTGTTCTTTATTTTTCTGGGATTCTCTGTATTTTCAAGTGAGCCTGCTGGTCCCTGGTATTCACAAGAGTATTCCTAAAGTGCTTTAGTTTTAGATGAATTTGCTTGTTTATTTTGTAGCAGTGCAGATCAAATCAAGGGCTGTGTGCAAGGCAGGCCAGCATTCCACCACTGAGATGTACCCTTGGACCTAGTTTTGCATTTTGAAGGACATAGATGGAGGCAAAAAATAAATTTAAGGAGAATGTTAGGAGAATGTTAGGGCATATTTATAGAATCATAATTTCATACTGTTGGACAAAGTGGAATTAATTTGAAGGGAAATCAAGTGTAACATCTTATTTATATCATGAGGTATGTCATTGGAGTGGATTTCTTTTAACCCTCTGGTCCCTGGTTTCTTTCTCAATCTATGAAAGGCCTCCAGCCTCTATGTGGGAAAGGAACATGCTGTTGGATGTTTCTGCTTCCTTTGAGCTTTTGATGATCGTAGGATGGGGGAACCACCGAGCAGGAGCACTGTCAGTGCAGGTACGCCCACTGTGGCAGAAGGGCTGGTGACAGCAAGCATTTAGATGCAGGTGCATGCATACCTCCCTGCTGGTCCTTGAGTACCAGTTTATATCTCTCACATTTGTGCCAGTGGCAAAGGCTTTCAGTGTGGTTTTCTTCTGAGATTTAAAAAAATTTTTACTATTCTAATGGCTGACAGTTGCAGAGGCCTGCAGATGTTTATCGCCGCATGAGGGTGGCTTCTTGCATTTTATACTTTGTCCCCCCGCCCTCCGCCCCCGCCCGTTTTTTAAGTTGTTAACTCTTGTTTTGCTCAACAAAATTTTAATGTTGTAACGTATGATTGATAAAATTAGAGAAAGACATTTATAAGAGTATTAAATTCATCTCTTAAGATGTCCCCTATAATCCTGAACTCAGGAGTTGGAGGCAAGAGGGTTGGGGATTTGAGATCAGACTGCTGCTACATAGTGAGTCCAAGGCCAGCCTGAGCTGGCCTTGTGAGACTTTGTCTCAAACCCTCCACCCTCTCAATAAAACAAAAACTAACCAAAGAGCCTCCCTAGCAAGCAAAACCTCTTCAACGCCCCCCTAAACAAACAAGCAAAAAGATATCTAGGACTGGAGTCATGGCTCAAATGGCAGAGTACTTGCTTAGCAAGCTCAAGGTCCTGAGTTCAAACCCCAAGACTGCCAAAACAATCTCATCTGTGGACCTCAAATCCAAGATGTTAGTAAGAGAAGACAAGTCACCTTTAGTCCCTCCCTGGGTGAGGTTTGGCAGGACTCACTAGGCATGTCAACTGTGCCAAGTAACTCAGCAATTTAAAGATTTTCCTTCTTGCTCTTGAAAACACTTAAAGATTACTTTAAAATGATTTTTTTTGTGCTACTGATGAGCTCATGTAAACCTCCAGGGATTCTCTGAGTTGTTGCTTAGAATTAGCATCAATTTCAAAAAACAACAAGCCAAAACTAAGGTTGATTTTCGGTTTGTACTTGTAAAATAACCCTGGGTTTTATTGAGTCAAATTTACTTATTTTTACTGTTGCAAAAGCCAGAGTGAATGGAAGTTTGCCAGAGGAAAGAAAATGAAAGCAGACAGGGATTGGAGTAACTCTGGAAGATTATCAGTGTGTGGAAAAAGGGCTTTCCAGCCAAGAATGCCCTGGTGTTAGACAAAGAACCTAACTCCACTTTTCCCTCCCAGTCATCTCTGCTTTATCTCACTAATTTTTATTTTCCTGTTGGGCATTCCTCACAGAAATGGGAGAAGCATATTGCAATAAAACCACATGAAATTTTTCCCAAGAGAAAGTCTTCTTAAGACAAACATGGACTTTCTTTCTTTCTTGATCTGTAATTTTTTATGTTTTTAGTGCTTGTACTGGAACTTGAACTCAGGGCCTAGGTGCTCTTGTTTAGCTTTTTTCTTTTGCTTAAGGCTGGTACTCTACCACTTGAGCAATACCTCTACATCCGGCTTTTTGGTAGTTAAGTAGAAATAAAAGTCTCAGAGACTTTCTTGACTGGGATTGCTTTGAACTGAGATCCTCAGATCTCATCCTCCCGAGTAGCTACAATGGCAGGAATGAACCACCAGTGACCAGTTTGTGTATTTTTGGATACTTATATTTATTATCTTTTCCTTTCGTATTCAAATAAATAAATTGGGATTTTTTTCTGTCCTCTATACCATATTCAACCAAAGGGATCTAGTGGGCTGTGGGTATTAGTTGTTTTTCTCACATTACGAGTGAGCAGAATTTTATTGTTTTTGAATGTTTAGGAGGATGAGTAGTTTTCCTGGCAAATGGATATGTCGTATGCTATGTATTAATTCTGCTAGAGTGGTGAGTTCCTGGAACTTTTAACCTGGCAAATTCCCTGCCAGCCATTTAGTAAGACCTTTGTGTTTGGCTCTTGGGTTTTTAAAAATCATCTTTTTTTCCATGAAAGATAGTATAGCCTTTAAAAAATACTGTCATTGTCATATTACATTAAACTTGTGGTTCCATTTAAGTTTTTTTTTGTGTGTTAATGGATTGGATTTAATCTGTGTGTGTGTGTGTGTGTGTGTGTGTGTGTCTGTGTCTGTGTCTGTGTGTGTGTTAGTATTGGGGCAGAGCCTTGAGATTTTCATTTGGCTTTTCACTCAAAGCTGGTGCTCTACCACTTGAGCCACACCTCCACTTCCAGCTTTTCATTTTTTCACTGAAGATAAGAGTCTCATAGATTTTTCTGCCCAGGCTGACTTTGCACCAGGTTCCTCAGATCTCAGCTTCCTGAGTAGCTAGGATTACAAGCCAGAGCCACTTGGTGCCTGGTGACTTTAATCATTTTTGAGAGCTTAAGAGGGCAAAACACACATGTTTTCCTTAGTTTAACTTACAATATCATGATGTGTTGTTAATGACTTGTTTTCCTCCCAGCTCAACCTTATCAAGAATTATTAATTTTTTTTCTCTATTTGCAGCTTTCAAAAGTTAACCTCAGTATCTCTCCAACTTCAACGGGCAACTGACTCTGGGAATCTGATTCCAGAGAATTGCATGCCTAACGATCAACGAATTTCTCATGCCTCTGGTCTTTAGACCTCCCTCTGAGTAACAAACGTTCACATTTCTGTTACTTTTTCATTTCTGTTACTTGTAAGCACGTGATCTGCTATGGAATTTGAGCTCTAATGCAGGAATACTTCTATTATCATGAATCATTTAATATACATGAATACTAAAGAAGTTCCCTTTCTGCTGGCCCTTTGGAGTCTATAGTAGGAAAGGTCTTAGGCAAAGATGGACAGTACGCAAGTATTGCTGTTTTTCTGTCTGTCTGCCACTTTCTTTTATTTTTTTCCAAATGCAGTTGTTTTCATGTGTGTCACATGTGTGACATGGTGTGCATACATGATGCTTTTTGGTGTAGAGAAATACTAACAATATGGAGATTAACCGTCTTTGCCATTTTCAAGTGTACACTTGGTTATTACTAAATACATTCATGGCGCTATGCAAATGACCCTCTCTCCAGAGCTCTTTGTATCCTGTAAACAGAAACTCTGGTGCCATGAGCAGTAACTGCCTTCTCGGCCAGCTTCTGGTGCTGCTCTGCTTTCTGCCTCTACAAATCCCACTATCCTAAGTACCTAATAGAAGTGGGATAATGTTTTTGTTGCTTTGCGACGGACTGACTTTAGTTTCACAATGTCCTCCTGATTCATTTATGTTGTAGCATGTGTAAGAACTTCTTTTTCATTCAGTTGTTTATTTATTTTTGAATTTCAAGTCTCTGCTTGCTAGGTAGGCTCTGTAGCACTTGAATCACACCGCCAGATTGTTTTTTGCGTTAGTGATTTTCTAGTTAAAGTCTCACATTTTAGGCCAGGGTTAGCCTCCAAGTGAGGTCTTTGTCATATCTGAGACTATGGGCAGGTGTCTCCATATGTGGACCCTAGAATTTGCCTTTTTTTCTTTCTTTTTTAATCATGGGGCTTGAACTCAGGGCCTGGGCACTGGCTCAGAGTAAGTGAAAGAGCTCCATTTCCAGTTTTCTAATAGTTAAATGGAGACAAGAGTTTCACAGATTTTCCTGTCTGGCTTTGAACTGTAATACTTAGATCTCAGCCTCCAGAGTAGCTAGGATTACATGTGTGAGCCACCAGCAACTGGGTAGACGTTCCTTTCTTTTAAAGGATGAATAATATATATATATATATATATATATATATATATCATACTTGCTAGATATATAGAGGTACCTGTGCATATACACAGAGCACATTTTGTTTTTCAACTTACTTATTGATAGATACTTACTTTCCATTTTTGGCTATTGTGGATAATCCTGTTGCAAAAAATAAGTATGTGTATTATTCTGATTTCTAGTGCTGTAACAAAATACCTGAAGTTAGGTCATGTAGACAGAAATGAGGTTGATTTAGTTTGCAGCTTTATAGGCTGAAAGTTTACGATTGGTTCGGCTGGAAGTTGGCCTTTGGCTGCTTCTCGGAATGGCGGAGACATACCATGGTGGGAACACGTGAAGGGGACAGGGAAGTCATGGCAGGGGACTTCCCCTGTATAACAACTCACTGTTATGATGGACAAACACTACAATGGTTGGTGACCCCCAGGATGTACCCAACTTCCATTAGGCTCCCCCTCCTGAAGAAGTTTCTACCACTTCCACACCTACATACTGGGGGCCAAGTTCCTGGCACATAAACCTTTGGGTGACACATTCAAACCACACTCATACCATAGCAGTGGGCAGATAACGCTTTGAAATGCCATTTTCAACTTATTTGGATCATTATCTTTATTTAGATCTACAGCTACAGATAATCCACATCTATATCATCTATATGTTATATTATCTATGTGTGTATAACTTGACTTC